GTTCCGCAAACGCATTCGGACGCGCGGGCACACATAGGCGGAGCGTTCCCAATTGGGCACGCCGCAGTTACAGAGTAGGTTATTCCAACGCCGGGACACCGCGAACATGGATTACGATTGGCCTAAAGATTGGGGAAATTTGTCAAGCAGTGGCAAAGCGTCCTCACTTTCGTATAGGCCCACTAACGGATTTTCTAAACATTTGGTGGTGTTGTGCGCGATAACTTCTTAAAATCGAGCCTTATTGGCTGAGACAGTTTTCCTTAAACCATTGAGGTTCTTTTATTAGAACGCATGTTGCCAGAGCCCCGAATCATCAGGGGTAACTCGGGTCAGGGTTAACTCGGGTTCGTTTTTCGGGTATCCGAACCCGAGTTACCCCGGACCCGGGTTACCCCGGATAATTCGGGCGTCCAGAGCCCCACATCATCGGGGGTAACTCGGATCAGGGCTAGCTCGGGTTCCTATTTCGGGAATCCAAACCCGAGTTGCCCCGGACCCGCATTACCCCGGATAATTCGGGCGCCCAATGTTGTTCAGGGAACAGTTCGAATTTGCCTATCGGAGTGCCGGGACGGTCACTCCCTGGACAAATCAGTGACCGCCACAGGCTTGTAAAAAAACCCTTCGAAGGATTGCAAAAAAACCCTCGGTTTTTTTTTGCAATCCTTCGAAGGTTTTTTTGCAATCCTTCGAAGGTTGTTTTGCAATCCTTTTTGCAATCCTTCGGTTTTTTTGCAATCCTTCGTGGCGCGCACCAGGAGGTGCCGCAGGCAGGGCGGCCTCTTTGGAAGAGGCGGGAGGCCTGCGAGGAGGCAGCGGGGCGTCCTGGTGGGTGCGGGGGCAGCCGGGAGGCCCTTGGCGGAAGCGTCCGGGCCTCTCTGATGTAGGGTTTCGGGTTTAGGGTCTAGGGTGTTGCCCGACAAGCGGTGTGGGCGCGCGCACGCATCCCACCCCCACATCAAGATTGTTGGGGGTGGGATGCTGTGTGCGCGCTCGCGTTGCTTGTCCTCCCGCCCCAATCCACCCCGGCTATTCTCTCTTAGGGTTTAGGGACACAAAGAGTTCTTTTCCCCCAGCCCCCACTCATGCGGGTGTCGAACACCACGTCGTCCTACCTGAGAACGCGCAGGCGCTGTAACGCATTGGGGAACAGCCTCCAGGTTTATATCGCGCGGTGGGGAACGCCCGACCGGGCGATTTCTTCCGACTCTCGCAGGAGCGGTTCTGCGCGGTGGCGCACGCGCAGCGGTTTGTCGGCCAACGAGGTGTCGTACCTTGTGGCCCATGTTACGCTGGCGACGCCAGAACCGCGCCTGCGCGCTCTTTTTCGATGCCCAGGCGCGCTGGCGAGCACATATGGGGATTGAAGTAAACTTACGCAGATGCCCCAATCTCAGAAGCGATCATGGTGGGCCACGACAAAGGGGACCAGCTCGCCGGACGCTCCGCGGCTCGCGCGCGCGCGAGGTTCCCGCGCTGACACCACGTCGTCCTAGAGTCTCCGGGGTTCGTTCGCGCGTTGGGGGACGCCCGACCGGGCGACCTTTTCCGATTCTCGCAGGAGCGATTCTGCGCGGTGGCGCACGCGCAGCGCTTTGTCTCGGATGGTGGGAGGGGGAGCTCGAGGGGGCGGGCCTGGCGCCCCCTCGATGCGACGCACCAGGCAGCGCGTCGCGTGCGTCAGCCGGCCGGCCGGCCGGCCGTCTGGCCGTCGAGTGTACTCCTTATCGCTGAATTACGTTGGCGACGCCAGAACCGCGCCTGCGCGCGCCTTTTCGGTGCGCAGGCGCGCTGGCGAGCGCATATCGCGATTGGGGTAAAATTACGCATACGCTTCAATCTCAGAGGGGATCACGTTGCGCCACGACAACGGGGACCAGTTCGCCGGACGCTCCGCGGCTCGCGCGCGCGCGCGAGGTTCCCGCGCTGGGGACCCCCTGGGAGCGCTTGGGGAGCCTCTGGGACGCGTGGGAGCGCCTGGGGAGCGCTTGGGAGCGCGCCCAGGCGCGCTGGGAGCGCCTGGAGAGCCCCTGGCAGCGTTTTCTTGGGTTTTCCTAGGTTCCTGGGGGATCTTGCAGGCCCGCTGCGTTTGGGTTCCGGCTTTCGGGTTATTATTTCCTGCTGCGCAGGTAGCCCGTGGCGTAGCCAGCCTGAGGCGCGGCGTGTGGGCGGTCGAGCTTAACCTCTCCCTTTGCGTAGATTCTCCAGGCGCTCCGCTGAACGTTCCGACCAAGGCTCGCATGCGTCTGGGGCATCCCGACAGCGACGCATACTCGAGTTTAGAGTTTAGGGTTTAGGGTACTCCAGATTTCGCAATAAAAGGGAGGGGGTCTGGACCCTCCAAGACAAGCCATTTCAGACCTCCCCCGTGGGAGAACCCTCCAAAACATCGCCCCCAGACCCCCCCAGGCCTTCCAAGATAGCCTGGAAGAGACCCCCCCCGAAATGAGACCCCCCTCCCTTTATTGCGAAATCTGGAGTATAGGGGTTGACGGGAAGCGCCCCTGGCGTGGACCGTTCGTTGGCGGTAGGAAATTGGTAATCGGGTAGGCGCCGCACTTTGAAATTGCGCTGGGGGTTGACGGGGAGCGCCCCTGGCGTGGACCGTTTGTTGGCGGTGGGAAATTAGTAATCGGGTAGGCGCCGCTTTTTGAAACTGCGCTGGCGGCTGACGGGGGGCGCCACTGGCGTGGACCGCTTGTTGGTGGTAAAAATTGATAAGCGGGTACGCGCCGCGCTTTGAAACTGCGCTGGCGGATTTTTGAAAAATTGCCGTTTCGCTCGAGACATCCTCCAAACATCGGCCCAAGAGGGGACTCCGCATCGACGTCGTGTTCGAATCGCTCTTGGAGGGCTTTCCAACGGCCCAAGGGAGGCTCAAAAGACGCCCTGGAGAGCCCCAGGAGCACCCAAGAGCGCTCCAAGAAGACCCCAAGAGACCCCCAAGAGCGTTCTAGGAGCCACCCAGACAGCTCACAAGAACCCCAAGACGGCACGAGAAGGGCCAAGAAGGCCCGAAGAGACTCCCGGGAGAGCCCCAGGAGGCCCCCAGCGCCGAGACGACCTAAGAAAGCTCCCAGAAAACCCCAACGACGCGCCCAGACAGCCCAAGAAGACCCCAGAAGCCCATAAGAGGACTCAAGGGGCCCCCAAGAAACCCCCAACAGGCCCCAAGAGAACCCCAAGAGGCCCCAATTACCTCATACTGTCCTCTGTCGTCGTCGTCGTCATCATCGCCCTCCGCATTCCTCTTCGTGCTCGCCCTCGTTTTCTTCGTCCTCGTCCTTGTGTTTCTCTTCCTCCTCGTTGTCCTCATGCTCCTCCTCGCTATTCTCACGTTCGCCATGTCGTCCTCGTCATCGGCTCCTCGTTGTCCTCGCCTTCCTTTTCTTCTTCGCCCAATGCGCCCATTAGACTACACCGGCGCTTCCCGTTCTTGTCCGATCAGGTTGGGGATTTGCTCTCCGGGTTTAGGGTTTAGGGTTTGGCGCTTGCCTTGAAAGAACGGCCTGCTTAGAGTTTGGGTTTAGGGTTTAGGGTCTACTAGGCGTGGCCACGAGTACACCTGGACCGCGAACCCACCTGCGGTGGCCGTCATTCCCACCCGCAAGCCACCCCACCATAAAGATCATCTTTCCCCTCGTTATAACCACATCGAATACAGCGTCGACGACGACGACGACGACAACGGCGACGACTGATGTGCGATCCAGTTGGCACGCGAGTGCTCTGACGGGCGGGAAGAGTCGGGTCGGGCGGAAAAGATTATGCACGCATGCGCTGCAAAGGTTATTTTGTGGAATAGGTGGATCGGCTCGCAACGGAAGGCACTTTGTAGTGTAAAGTACGAGAGATTCTGCACGCATGCGCAGGAAGTGCAATTTTTTGCAGTAGATGGAGCCGGTTTACAGAACGGGGTCGCAGCTTGTATTGTAAAATACATGGGATTACGCACGCATGCTCAGGACATGTTTTTTTTGCAGTACATGGAGCGGGGTCGCAACGGGGACTGGGCACTTTGTATTGTAAAATAGAGGAGATTCTGCACGCATGCTCAGGACATGCTTTTTTTACAATAGATGGAGCCGGGTCGCAACGGGGACTGGGCATTTTGTAGTGTAAAATACAAGAGTTTCTGCACGCATGTGCAGGACATGCTACTTTTGCAGTAGATGGAGCCGGTTTGCATAACGAGCGGTTTTGTAGTAATCAGGGTTAAATAATTATAGGATTAGAGACTTAGGGTCCATTCGCCCAAACTGAAGCCTGTTGGACGCGTCCCGCCCACCCATGACCCAAGACACATGGATTTCAAAACGACGACGACGATACCGATGACGAAGACGACGATATTGGTTTCAAAACGACGACGACAGTCGCGCAAAGTCTTCTGGGAAACCGCTGCAACGGCGATGCGGCACGCGCGCGCGACGACGCGATTTGAAGAACAACGTATATTTACGCGAGTCCATGCGCGTCGCAGGGACGCCGCCCAGCGGCGGTGAGATTGCATGGGGTGGCTGCGTAACGAGCGCGGGATAGTTCGTTGCCTCGAGGAGACGGATCCCCAGTTCGCATCCTCAGCACTGGGACGCGGTGCGCGAAGGCCGATGCAAGGGCGATGCGACGCGCGCAAAACGACAAAAACGCGTCACCCGATGGGGCAAGGATCTGCGTGAGGGGTGCGCCCTGCGTTTTGCAAAGCTCTCGGAACACCGTTCTTGGCGCTCCGAGGCCAATGACTTGCGTGATGGGGTGCGCCGAATTTGGGTGCGGCATAAGGGAACGCGGAAGGGCGCCGTACGGCATTGTAGGATTTAGATCTTTATAGGCTCTTAGTTATTAGGGTTTGGCCCCTGCTCTGCAAGGACAGCCCGCCGCCCTCTTTGAAGGCCCCCCCCGTCGCACCACCCACCCGCGCGCGCTGTCAAACACGACATCGCCCCCCTGCCCCGTCCATCCAGCAAAAGGGGTTGCGCTCCCCGCGGCCGCGAGAGGCGAGCACATGTGCAAGTGGTTCCTCGAGGACGACATCGACAGGCCTCATCTTGCGCTCGTCGTCGGCATCCTCTTTGCCCCTCCCTCCATCCACCATCCCGCTCCGTGTCCACATCCTGTTTCCATTTCTCTGTCAGTCTTCCCTCTCCCCCTTTCCGATGTGTCACCCCTCTTTGTCCTTGTCCCCCTTGTGGTCCATTTTGCCTTCGTATCCGTCCGTTCACCCCTCTCTTGTGCCTGGTCCTCGTCATGTTTCTCCTTCCCCCCCCACGCAGTTACCTGTCCTACCTTTTCCTTCCTCCCTCCTGGCACCTCCGTCCTCTCTCATCTCTCTTGCCTCTCCCCTATCCCTGCCCCCTGTACCCGTGCTGCGTATCTCGTGCGTCCTCCTAGCGCTTCCCCGCCGCCTTCACGACCTTCCAGGGCCCGGCCGGGCGGCGTCGGGGCGGCGACGGTAACAGCATCGCCGCCAGACCGCCGCCCAGTCCCAGACGACGGGCGGCGACGGGGCGGCGACGGCGACAACACAGCCGCCAGATCGCCACCCGAACCCCTGAACGCAAGCAGTGGTTTGGGTAGCAACAACCCCGAGGGAGAAGCGAGGGTTGATCTTCATAGCTGTTGGAGTCCACGGACGGGAACGCTCCTTTTTTATCAGGAGGGGGACCGAGGTTCCAGTGACGCGCCGCCGCTGGAAGCATTTCGGCGTTCTAATCCGCATGTTTTCTGTTTTCTGTCCGAAGGCGTGGCGCTCCTTCAACAGGAGCGTTCCGATGAGTGGCCCCCCCCCCCGCGGCGGCGTGTCGTTGATATTGCTGTTGATCCCCCAGCTTTGGGCAGCGCCAGGGACTCCGTCCACCTGACTTGTGCGGAGCTGGTCGCGGCCGACTCCACCCAACTTGGGGTCTGGTCGGACGGAGAGAGGAGGGTGTAAGAGGAGGAGAAGGAGGAAAAGGAGGAGGAGGAGGAGGGATGAGGAGGAGGAAGATGTGGTGGTGGAGGAGGGGGAAGAGGAGGGGGAGGAGAGGGGAGAAGGAGGAGGACGACGACGATGAAAGAGAACAGGAGGACAAGAGAAAGGGTGAGGACCGAAGAAAAGAGTAGGTTCACTGTTGGAGTCTTCGGCCACGGGCAACCTTTGGGCAGTGCCCCGTGCGAGCACAACGTGTTTGAATCGTCACGGGGTTTTCCCATTCTCCCCTCCCCTCCTCCCCTTCCCCCCTCTTCCCGGCCTGCCTCCCTCCCTTCTTCACTCCTCCCCTTTCCCCCCGTCCCTCCCCCTCCCCCTTTTTTTTCCTCCTCCTCCTCCTCCGCCTCGTCCTAGTCCTCCCCGCTCGCTCGTGCACAGGGGGGCAGCGGAAATTGACGACGACGGCGACGGCGACGGCGACGGCGACGAGGGGCGCCTTTTGTGCAGCGCCCGGGGCGAGGCCCGACGACGGCGGCGCCGTGGACCCGCGCAACATCGTCAGCGGCAAGCGGGCGAGGCCGAAGGCGCAGCAGGGCGGGGGGCGGCGCAGCCGCTGCGGACGACGCCGCTATGCCCTGGCTGGGTAGTCGAAGGCCAGACTGTCAGATTGGATTGGGCCCCAGGGGCCAATCTGGCCCGGCCAAACTGGATGATTTGGGTTATTCGCCAGACTGGATTCGCGTTGGCTCCCTCGCCAGAGTGCCCCCGTTTGCCAGATTGGGCCTGCCAGATTGGCGCCAGATTGGCTTCGACTACCCAGCCTGGGGCCAGCTCCCGGCATCCTCTCATCGTGGGGACATCCGGGCCAGGATCGGGGGCTGCCGTGGTGCCGTCGGAACCGACGAGGAGGACGTGTGCGGTTTTGCTGGCGCGGCCAGTGCCACAACATCTGGGCCATCCCGGAGCATCTCGAACTTCATCCTGACGGGCGCGTCCTGTGGACGCTGGGGAGGGCGGGAGGGCGCACTGGGCCCCTTGATATGCCAAGGGGAGAGACTTCGAACTGGGGGGGGGCTCCCCCCAGGGGGGGTGGCTCGAACCGCGGGGCTGGGGCCCCTTTTGAGTTGCATGGGGAGGGGGGTCCGAACCAGGAGGGGGGGGCCGCCCTCGTTCCAACGGGGGGGTAGGGGTTCGAACCGGGACGGCCCCCCCCCTTCTGTCCAAATGGGGATGGCAAGCGACGACGGCGGGCGCCGGCGCCTGCGCCGGCGTCGTCAGTCAGCGACGACGACGATGACGACGATGACGACAACAACGATAGCAGCGACGACGACGACGACGACGGCGGCGGCGGCGGCGGCGACGACAACGACTTCGACGACGACGGCGACGACGACGACGAGGACGATAATTATGACGACACGACGGCGGCGGCGGTGGTGGTGGCGGCGGCGGCGGCGGCGACGACGACGACGACGACGACGACAATGCCAGCGTTGCCGCCGTCGGGCACCGACGACGACGACGACGATCGCGACGGCGGCGGCGGCGCCGACGACGGCGACGATGCTGGCGCTGGCGCCGTCGGGCAGCGACGACGACGACAACGACCACGAATACGACGAAGTGGGTGCTGGCGCCGCAGGGCAGCGACGACGATGACGATGGCGGCGGTGGCGAAGGCCGCGAAGGCGGCGGCGGCGGTGCCGGCGACGGAGGCGACGGCGACGCGGCGGCGGCGGCGACGGAGGCGACGGAGACGGCAACGGCAACGGCGACGGCGACGGCAACGGCGACAGCGACGGCGGTGGCGGCGACGGCCACAGCGACGGCGACGGCGACGGCGACGGCGACGGCGGTGGCGGCGACGGCCACGGCGACTGCGACGGCGACAGCGAAGGCGTCGACGACGGCGACGGCGACGTTGGCGACGGCGACGGCCACGGCGACGACGAGATCGACGCGCATAAGGCACCCCCCCTTGAGGTGCATGTAGGGAGGTTCAACCAACGGGGGGGCGCCCCCCTGCAACCGACGACAATGAGCGTTGGCGCGGGCGCCGGCGCCGTCAGGCAGCGACGACGCCGACGACGACGACGACCACGGCGGCGGCGACGGCGACTGCGACGGCGACGGCGAAGGCAAGGTCGACGGCGACGGCGACGGCGACTGCGACGGCGACGGCGACGGCGGCGATCGCGACGGCAACGACGACGTCGGCGAACGCGACGACGACGCGCACACGAAACGGTCTTGAAAAACACTCACGAAATCAAATAATGCACGGGGAAAGGACGTCCGAGTGATAGCAAGGGTTTCTCCTCCGCCCGCCCGGGCCGCCCTTAGATCCCGCTGCCGCCGATGGCGCCTCCCATGATCAGAGAGTGGTGTTTTATTGCTTGGGGCATGACGGGCGTCATGGGCTCCCGCCACCCCCCCCACCATGACGTACCCCCCCCCCCCAGTGCGCCCTGGGCATTGCCGACGTGCGCATCGGGATCCGCATAGTGTCCGCATTGGGACTCGCATAGGAGTCTGGTCCGCGTTCGTCCTCGTGCTCGTCCTCGTGGTCATCGTCGCTCGTCGGTGGTCGCTCATCGTCGTCGTGCGCGCGGGCGCCGCAGGAGCCTGTTTTTTTTATCCCGGGCCGATGACGGTAATCATTTGCGGGGGGCCGGGGTGAGGGGGTGAGTCACGGTTTGCGCCGGAGGCGTCTGGGAATGCCTTGGAATGACCGAGGACGGCAGCATGTAGGTGGCGATTTGCACCACAGTGCTTGTGTAGACCATGCACAGTGCCAGCGTGCACCACAGCGCTTGCGTACACCACAACGGCTATGTACACCACAGCAGCCGCGTGCAACACAGCGCCAGTGTGTGCCACAGTGCCTGTGGGCACCACAGCTCCTGTGTACACCGCAGCGCTTGCGTACACCACGTCAGCCGCGTGCAACACAACAGCCGTGTACACCACAATGCCTGCGTGCACTACACAGCTTGTGTACACCACGGCGCCTGTTTGCACCACTGCAACCGTGTGCAAATGAGAACCACTGTCGCATTCAGAATGTGAGAAAGAATCCTTATGACAAAATGGAGCGCCTGTGGACCCCACTGGAAACAATTGCTTTACTCAGGATTTTGAGAATAGTCCTTATAGAAAAGAAGCGCCGCTGGAATTTACGAGTCCTCCCGAATCCGCCTGCATCATCCTAACTCCTCACATCTGCGTCCAGAAGGCTCCAGCAAAATTTGTCGTCTGACAACCAAGTGGACTGATTGAGTGGACCATTGGACAATTATGCAGTGCACGGTGACATGCGCACGTGCGATATAGCGCCGACCCGCACGAATGGGGGGAAGGGTGAGGGAAGAGGAAAATAGGAGGATGAGGAGAAGGAGGAAGAGGTGGAGGTGGAGGAGGAAAGAGGAAGGAACAGCGTCGCATTTTATCAGCGTTTCCCTGGCGTGGGGTTTGGCTGTCCGCAGCAGGTCCTCTCCTACATGCTCCTACTATTTGTCCTGTGCGCGCAGGCGCTGTGGTGTACACCGGCGCTGCGTTGCACGCAAGCGCCGTGGTGTACACAGGCGCTGTGTTATACATGGTTGCTGCGCTGCGCACATATGCTGTGGTGTATACCGGCGCTGTGGTGCAAGCGAGCCCTGTGGTGTACACAGGCATTGTTTTGCACACGGCTGCTGCGAGGTACGCAGGCGCTGTGGTGTACACGCGCGCTGTAGTGCACGCGAGTATTGTGGTGTACACAAGCGTTGTGGGCAGATCGCCACCTACATGCTGCCCGCGTTGTCGTCGTCGTCGTCGTCGCTCATCGCTCGTCGCTCGTCGCTAATCTTCCTCGTGCGCGGTTGTGGGGCCCGAGCCACGGCGATGGGGGGGGCGTTACGTCAGATCCCCCCCCCCGCACCGACAATGCTCCACCCCGGTTTGAGGGTTCAAATACTGGTTGAATCGGGTTTTCCCTGGACTCGTGGGTAAATGAAAAGTGGCGGGTAAACTTTGCTCGTATTAGACGTAGTTGTGTGTCGTCAATGCAAGAGCCGAGAAACAATATCATTACCTTGAACGGAT